TCCCTACATACAGTCCAGTGTAGGAATTACAATACAGTGAAGGTATAACCAAAACAAATTCATAGTTTAACGCAGACATTTCTGCAATCTGTCACACTCCTTGTCACATTTGAAATTAGTGTTAATGATACTTAGCACTTACACCTCAGTTCTCATCTCCAAAATGATTTAATTAAATATTGTTTACGACAGTAATTTGAGAGGTATTTGAACTCAAGAGGAAAACATGATAGTTGTAGGTGGAACATGAAATTAGAATAGCCACTCTAGCTTTGCAGAGGAACCATTATGACCATAGGCTATAGCTATGTTCTGGATAGTTCAGCTGCAGCACAGAGTTGCATCTGAGCATAATTAGCTACCTGAGAAAACACAGGTCAACTATGTCAGCAAAAGCAGTGGTTTCACAATTTGTTTCAAGATTGAGGTAGACCGAGGAACAAAAGCAAGGATACAGAACTGAAGATCATTTTAATCATTATACACTTTTGGTCCAGGTGGAAGGAGCAGGCCCCTCACTGAGTCTTAGCCGGCAGTAATTACAGTTTCCTGGAAGTCTGTACTATTTTGATAGATTCACAGAGTCAGAGAACAGTTGAGGCTGGAAGAGACTTCTGAAGATCATTTATAATCCAACCTCCTGCTTAAAATAGGAGCTACTAAAGCAGGTTGCTCAGGGCCGTGCCCAGTTGGGTTTTGAATATCGCCAGGAATATACAACCTGAGGGCAACCTTTTCCAGTGTTCGATAATCCTCACAGTAAAAAAATTTTTCTTATTTTTAAATGGGATCTTCTGTATTCCAGTTTGTACCCACTGGCTCTTGTCCTGTCTCTAGGCACCACTGAGAAGAGTCTGGCTCTGTTTTCATTACAACCTCCCTTCAGATATTCATACGTATGGATAAGATCCCCCTGAGGCGTCTCTTCTGCACATTGAACAGTCCCAACTCTCACAGCCTTCCATTGTATGACAGATGCCCCAATCATCTTTGTGGCCCTTTGAAGGACTTGCATCAGTATGTCCCTGTTTCTCCCGTACTGGGGAGCCCAGAACTGGACCCAGTAAGCCAGATGTGTCTCACCAAGCCTGAGCAGAGGGAATGCTGTCCTAGGGTGCATCACCCCCACTGCTGAGCACGTGTTCACCATCCTCAGCAGAGTTTCTGGCCCTCTCTGCAAGCCCTTCTGTGCAAACTGCTGCATCTGTTGGCCATCTCTGTTGGCTGACAGAGTTATGTAACTCTGTTCATGCAAGCTGAAGAAGGCGCTGCAGCATGGACCGTTAATGGACAGACACAAGGCAAGGAAGAGGATCTGAGCTCCAGCCTGCTGTAGTCTGAGAGTAGCACAGCCTGCATCCCAGGAGCAAGCGATTTGTCAGCATCAGCCCGCGAGTGAAAAAAGAGAGAAACACTGGTGCCTGTGATGAGTACCTAGTCTCATGAGGATGCAAAGGTGATGGAAAATCAGTAACCAAACTGGGGGAAAAAGCCAGAGTTTAGACTGACCCAGGGAAGGGAATTAGATATAAATAGATCTAGTGTATCATATGTACTGTTTCTTATCTCCATCAATTTAAAGGTCTATAGTTGAAATTAGAGAATCTGGAAATTGCAAGTGTATTACCTGATCCAGAACTAAAATGCTACTGAAGAGAGACAATTAGTGCATCAGGCTGAGTTGACCCAACTCCACTTACACATAGCTGCAGAGAATTATAAGAAAGCTAGTGAAAATGACTTTAAATCTTTTTAAAGTACTTTTTTAGAAGCTGCTGGAAGATGCAGTCTCTTCATGCTAGAAGGAAGACCATTTCTGAGAGCAGCCAAAATAGATGCTAGCCTAGTGACTTTTTGCATAATAAAATCAAACAAAAAAATTCTCTAGAGACATCTGGTAATTAGAGAAGTCTCCAAAACTGGTTCATTAAGCCATTTGCTGGCCAAATACAAATTCTAAACAGAGAAAAAGAAAATACAGTCCGTGTTTTAAATGTTATTACATGTTTTAACTGTCATTGCAACCAGCTAAAGGAGCTAATGGTAGTAGAATTAGTGCCTGCATCTCTGTGGGAAAAGCAGGCTTAGATGGGGCTCATTATACTGTAAGTGGAATGGCCATTTTTAAACTATTGATTGTGATTCCAGCTATCTGGAGACTGCTGGGCTATCAGACGCAGCATGGATTTCACACTTCCTCTAAGCGCTCTTAATGGTTCCTGGATGTGGGATCCCCACCAAAATAGCTGTGTGGGACATATGAATGTCCTGTTACATGATATAAAATATATGCTCGTCTCAATGAGTGGAAGTTGACCTGTAGCATTTTCTGAGGAGACTCAGAAAATGAAGACTCGCTATAAACAAATATATATATCTATCTGTATAAAGAGAGAAATATAGAAATATACGTGTATAAAATATACATAAAACTCGTACACAAATTCATAAACAACGTATCTATGTCTATATATGTGTGTGTGTCTGTGTGTCTGTGCATCTGTGTGTGTCTGTGTGTGTCTGCATCTCTATGCTGGCATGTTGTGAAGATAATTGAAAATGGGAATTTAATTTTTCCAATTTGAATTGCAAAAAGAATTTAAAGAAATTGTCCCTCTTTTGCTTCATAATGCTGGTAAAGCGGCTTCCTCTTATGGATGTTTTTTCCAGTGTTATAATGAAAATGTTACTGTCTTGAAGAATGTGCTCCAGAGTGCCTGACAAATCATGTGGTTTTTCCTTTCTCTGCAGCGTTCAGCATTTTGGAGTAAGTAAGAAAGAAAATAGGAGTCCCTTGTGTCTTGAATCCTGTTCACAAGGAAACACTAAAAAGAAGAAAACTAAATGCTGTCATTACAAATCAGGTCTGCAAATAAAAAGTAAGGACTGAATCAGAGTTAAAGGCCCCATTTGCTGGCTAAAAAAATGAGCGAGCTGCAGAGGCAGTGGTAGAGAGCAGCTCTGCCTGTTTTTGAGGAGGTCTGTAGCTGCTGGGTTGGCTCACTTGAGTGTGGCCTTTTATAACAAACTGCCATTGGCTTTGTTCTGCTTTGAAACGCGCCGTTGTAAACTCTGCTGAACTGAGGATAGGACAGGCAGTTGGGAGTTGTAACGTTATGAGCCATCCCAACCCATTCTATTTTCCTCAAAACACTGAAATATTGTCATTGGTTTCCATTCCAGTGGAAGCAAGCAGGTGAGGATGAGCAGCAACACGGGTTATCTGGTGAGTCTGCATGAAGGGGTTTAACACACTATTCCCCTCAGCTGCCTGCTCCATCCTGAGGTAGGGCTACTCAAGCAGACTGCAGGGACAAAGTGTCCGTACTGCAGCTTCTCTAGGCCAGCCTGGCATCTCTTGTGGCCCCTTTAGCTCATGGTTTCCCGTATTGGCACAAAACCCCTTTAGAGGAAATGTAAATGAATGCAGTGGCACAGGCAGACGCAGAAGCCTTCTGACACCTGCTGCTGGAGTCAGTGACCAGCCTCTGACAGCAAGATGAGGCAGATGTCCAAGGGCAGCAGTGTCTGAGAATACAGCAGCCCAATTGCAAGAGGTCATCTGCGTCCCACCAACACAGGATGCCTTGAGGCCACAGCCTGTTTTTTGAGCTTACGTAGATCTTCCCAAGTCTCATATGAATTCTTTTAACACTGTGTCAAGTACAGTAAACTGTAATTGTCATTAAAATCATCTAGTCCATACCAGAAACATCCTTACTTGGGCTGAGCAATAACTTACCCACCAGTTATTTGAAAAAATGATTTTTAGGATAATATGCCATTCAGAAAACATGCCTCATTCTCCCTGGAATTCATTTGAATTCTTTAGAGAACTAGAAACAAACCATCATTTTTATGTTCTTTCCTTTTTTTTTTCAGTACCTCCTGTGTTATATTCAGGGCATATGTGTTTTAATTCCACAACATCTCTTTAGTGATGTCTCATTCTAATAGAGATTGCTAGGTAGCAAAATGTCTACCTCATTTGGTGTAAGTGGCAGAGACACCAGGTAAAATCTGTATCGACTCCATTAAAAAATTAATAATTATTGTACAGTGTTTTTATTCGGGCAGATTGGTGTAAAAATAATGCTTTATTATTCTACCATCAATCTCTTACCTTTTTCTATGTTTTTCCCCTCCTTGTAGTTTGCAACTAAACATAACATATCTATGCTTATATAATCTTCTCCTTCCCTCCTTCCCATGAGAAAACAACAAAATGATTTTTTTTTGCAGAGGCTGAGGATTTTAAATGGCTGCTGGCAGACAATATCTGAGGATCTTTGCTATTGCACTGAAGCCTAAGGGGAGCTCTGCAGGTAGGAATTTTCTCAGGCTCAACCTCTTCTGTGATTTCCAGGGAGGAAATTTTAAAGAGGACAAGATGCAAAGTAAATTATCTTCAGGCTATACTGTCATTTTTGGAGGAGTGTAAAAAAAAGATGTACTCACCTGCACACCTTGGACCCACTGTCTTCAGTGCAGGGAGGGAAAGGTGTTCCCAGAGAGATCTGTCCCTTTCTAGACAATCCAAACCTGGGAGATTTTCCTGAGAAGGGAATGATTTCAGAGGAAAAAAATCCCAGTGCACTGAGTAAAATTTGTATCAAAGGGCTGGTTGTTTGGTTAATGCTTTGCAGGATTTGGCTGTGGGAAAACAAACATTGTATCGTGATGGGCTTGAAAAATATTTCCACATGATTTAATGCCTTGCAAAAATATTTGATTAATCACAGAAAAGGCATAGGCTCTTGCTCTGATTTAGCTGTTTGGTTTATGGTTACATTAGAAGAATATGGGAGATAGCTGCAAAACGTACCCACAGAACCTTGACTAAATATTTGGATTTTTGTGGTCCATATCTGCAAGAAGCTATCTATCTATAGAGAAACAGAATCAAATTCTCAGTATGGCTGTTTGTAACGTAGAAGCTGGATGAGTAATTTATAAAGCTTTGATTTCTGCCTTTATGAGATCTATGTTAGATTTAATTGCTTTAACTGCTGTAACAACAATACTGCTAGCTCCTCTGGTACAGTAAAGGCAGCTTTCCAGTCCTACAGTCCATCACTTTGCTACAAATCCACTGAGAAAAGCAAAGAATACAAGGCTTTTCAAAAATATTTGTTGACTATATTAAACTGCAATTTCTGACACACATGCATGTGCTCATCCCCACAAAAATTTCTAAAAAACCTCTCAAGCTCTAGCAGTAAAAACTCCTAAGACTAGTTTCTTTATGCCACCGCTTTCTCACTTCCACATATCAAGTAAATGTTAACTACCCTTGTCTCTGCTAATGAATAAAGTGTAGAGTTTTCAAGAGGTCCCTGGGAAATGGAGCACACTAATTCTTTTCTTCCTTTAGCTAAGTCAGCTATAGATGCTGGCTTTAATAATAAATAAATAAATAAATAAATAAATAAATAAATAAATAAATAAATAAATAGCAGCAGCAGGATCCTAAACTGTTCTGCACAAGTAATCTGACCTGACATATTGTAGCTTATGCAGTCTCCTTTAGCTCACCTTTGCTAGAAAAGTGAAGTGATGTACATGGAGCCTGATCCAGTACCATGGAGGGCAACTGAGAGCTTTGCTTTTACAAGTGCATTTTGACCGGGCCCACATCTAGAGCACTAAATGGGTATGCAGGACCTGACTTTCTGAAGTGCATGACAGCCTAAACAGAATATCCTGACTCCAAAAGAATTTGATTATGAAAACATCTACCACAGCTAGTATCAGAGAGGGAAACATCTCTAAGAAAGCATACTGAGAGGATAAGCCAGAGTATCCCCTGACTTACCCAGTAAATATGCATGGGGATTCAGCAGAGTAAGCAAGGAAAGTGTTTGATCTGAGTAAGCAAACTTAAGCTGAAATTTTCCTATCTAGAAACAAAAGTCTACACTTCTCAAGATATAGACCTATAAATCAACCCTGTAGGGGTTGATTTCTTCTCAAAAGACTAAACACAAAAGGGAGTGTTACTATACTGGTGTATGGTATTTCATCATTCATTGTCCACTCTATATACTGTTACACTGAAGGAAACATAAGGTATAAATGGAAGTCAGTCTTTATTTAAAATACGTAATTTTTAAAGCATGATGTAGCTGATCTAGTCTCTGTATATGGACAAATAATTGTTCTCATGAGACAGATGAACTGAACAGACTGAACTTTTCATAAAAAGTAAAGAGCCCATGCCTGGCATGCTGCATGGCTAGAAATGCTGCTTTGCTATCTGTTGGATGGATAGTTCTATCTACTGCTATTACTTGCTGCTTTGTGGAGAATGCACATGGGGGTTTTCTCCCATCTCTTACAATGCAGCAGCTCAGTGGTTTTGCATGAGCATCATTAAGTGCACATAAGTCCCGCAAGTGAATCAGAAGCAAAGTGTCTGTAACAGAGTGCAAAAGTTTTTAAATTCCTTTTTTTGTTATCTTTAATCACCAGAAGAGGCAAACATCTGCAGTATCGCTCCAAAATGGATCCAGTGATTCTAACGGTCTTTGATAACTGGGTGCCAATGGCCTAGTACTGTGCGATGCTGATGACTTGGGTGCTTCTAAATACTCTCAAATTCCATGGAAGCTAAAGCGAATCAAGGGCTTAAAACCTACCTACATATGATATGTGGTGGGTACAGATCTGTGAGGTTGTGGTTTTCTTTTGCTTTATGTTCATAATTTACATTTCCATGTGTTCATTAAGGGGAGAGAATTATTATAAACTAAATTGAAAGCACTTATTCAGTGCGGGAAGATTTTAGTGTGTATTACAGACATCAGTAATATCTCCTCATGCAAATCCAGAATGCAAACCTCGTAATAACATTGTATATCTTGTTTAAACAGTCTGAAAAGGCAAAGTTTATTTAAGTTGCATTTGCAGCTGCCTTTTCCAGCTCTGAGGAAGCTAATGAAGTGTTGGAACTGCGGCTGAACGGGGTAGAGAATATCCTCCTTTGTCCTCATGCCACTGTCCTTGTCTCTTGCCAGAGCTAATATTTCCCTTTACCAACTGGTTTAATTGGCCACCTAACTGCTGTCTAGCATGCTCCTGTAAAATGGCCTGGGTTAATAATCAACTAGCTTTTCTCAGTGTCATTAAAAAAAACAAATAAAAAAAATAACAGCCCAACATTCCTTCCCCAAATCATTTTGGAGCATAAATTTGGAGAGTAATCAGATGAAGAATTATACTGGCAGACGTGGGGCTTGAAAAACTGTTGGCACAGGAAGGACAGTAATAAACAATTGGGAGCCAGAGGAAGGAATGGGGTCAGCAAGCACTGTCCTATATAACCTGGATCTTCTGCAGTCAGCTTAGTTTATTAGCTGTGTCCTTAGGAAGCTTTTCCCTCAGGAGCGCCCCTATAGAAATTAGCATAAATTAGCATGCTTCTGTAGATATATTCCTATTTCAAAAGGGAATTTAGCACTTGCAAAAGGACATGGATCGACAGCACTTGGACCAAAGCCCATTTGTTTCTAAAAGGAACCATGAAATGGAGGTGTCAACTTATTACTCTCCTAAGAAACCATTCCACAGAAGAAGAGTCAGCTCTGCAGGTGGGAGGGAGCATCCCTCCCTTCCCACGGAGGCCTGGTCTTATAGTGATACCCTCGTTAATAAAAATGGAGAGTTGCCCACTGCATGATGGCTACAGTTGTCAGTTATCACAAGAGATATTCTTCCTGCAGCTGAAGAAAGAAGAGGTTCATGGCTGACCTAGGCTTACCACTCCACCCTTATATATTCGTAGTAGCATACTTCTGCGATTGATTATGTAGAAAGTCAGTTTAATCCATTTGAGCAAAGTCCAAAGTATGGTCAGTACCTGTTGGAAAAATTCAGAGAAGAGAAAGGATGAAGAATTCCTTCTTTCAGCTTTTCTTTCAGTGTCCTTGACTTGCAGCTGTTCTTGTGATCATAGGAACCTGTTAATTTAAATCCTATCCTTTGACTGCAGCTTACCTGCAAAGAAGTTCCTCTTATGCACAGTGTGTTTTTCATTGTTGAAATAGTAGTTGCCAGCAGATTACCCATTTTTTTCCCTAAAAAATAACTTTTTTTCTTTTTTTCTGAGCACTTATAACAGAGGTTTATAGCCTCAGCAGGAGCTCTGGGAAAATACCTTGTTTCAGCTTGCAGCAGCATATAATATTATACCTGGTAGCATGATAAACTGCACATGTTTTACATGCAAACCTTATAATTTCACAGGTTCCTTAGGCAGTCAGACTTTAAGCTTATTCTACAGAAGATTTTTTACTGCCTGACTTTGAAGTTTTCTTATCAGCCATTATTAAAAAGGTATGGAAAATCACCCATGGAATTATCTGCTTTGGGTAATTATCTGGTTCCTAAATCACCTGAGCATCTGCGCACTTCACAGGCTTTAATATGTTTATCTTTACAATACCCTAGTGAGAGGGGAAAGTGGTGCAGTCCTGTTTTGGAGCTGGTGAACTGAGGAACAGAGAAGTTACATCTATGCTCAGAGAGGAAATGGCTCCACAGGCTGGATCCTGAATCCTTAGTCCCCAAATTGGCAATCTGGCTGGAGTGCACTAGGAGTTCAATCCAGCCAGTGCAACGAAGTTTTCTTCCCACAAAAGGTAAGGTGTGAGGAGCTGATGTACTTTAGTTCTTACCTTAGTATAGGCTTGGGATGTGGGCAGCATGAGTGCTTAAATCTGGGACATCTGCAGCAGTGCCATGTCTACCAGTTTACACGCAGCTTAAGTAACTTGCTAAAGGTGATACATGAAATGTGAAGCAGGGTAGAAAAGGGGCTCCAGGCATGGCATTTGGATGTGTAACACCTCTGGAGATCTGGAGATGTACTACACCTTCCCAGGTACCTGTGCGGGGCTGATAGGTACAACAATACTGGGTTTACAAGAAACCTGCTCTTTCCTGGCGTGGCAGCTGGAGGCAAGTGTTGGAAACGACAGTAGGTATTTAGCAACTGCATCACAGCCTAGGATTCAGTTAGGTCCAATCAGAAAGCTTTGAGAGATTTAGGCATCATGTACCCTAAACCACCGCACAGCTAACGGATGGATATGACCTTTTTTTTATAAACTAAGTAGATAGGATTCAACCCCTAGCTGAAAGGTTCCTGCCTGTCCTGTTAATTTAAACGATGTTTCAGCCGAGTATTTAATAGATGTAAATTTAAGTAAAAAAACAGTTATGGAATTAAAAAATAGCACCTACTTTATCAGTATAAACACTTTCGAGGTAGGTATGAACATTGATTGGCATCTCCAAATGTCTGGCACGTTATTGAGTTTAGCATATTCAGCAATAAGCAACTTATTCACTCAGTTTTCAGTGAACTGCTTACACAAAAGCTTCCATATATTTTATGAAGGCAGAAAAATGCACCCCATTATCTACTACTTGAATCTTTCCATTTGTCTTTGCAATGCACTCAGAGCTCTAGGGCATGTTTTTGACAAATAATTAAGGGCTAATCTTGGAAATGCTTGGTGCGTGGTGCTGCCATTGAAATCGATGG